AAAAAAAAAAAATCCCCACTTTGAAACCAACACCACATACGGCTCACCAAACGCAGGCTCTAACAGGCGACTACTTTTCCGCATTGCAAGCTGGCTACGAGGGCTTGGACGCTTGGCTGGCCTTGTACTTCTTTAGCAGCAGCAGCGATGCAGGAGGAGGCACGTCGACAAACCCGGGCGCGATGGCAGGTGACATGGGATACAGCGCTGCATTGTCGCGCGGCGTGCTGGCGCCCGATCTTCTTCCCGGCAAAGGTGAGGCGTCGCGCGAGACGTTGCGGCTGCCGCCGGTGGACGACGAGTCGTTGCTGCGGCCGCGTGTGGCACCCGCGCCGCTGGCGCCGCTGGGACTGGAGACGGTGAGCGAGCGCGACCTCGAGGCTGCACTCACATCGCCGCCGGAAGCCGAGCGTGTGAGCGAGCCACTGCGTTGTCGATGCATCGCCGTGTCGGCGGATCCATCCCCGCGTGCCGCGCCACGCCGTGGGCCGCGCCGACGGTCGACACCGTGGTTGCCAAGCATGAGCCCGGGCTCGGCGTACGCAATGGCAGCAGCGTTCGATCGACTCGGCGTGCTCGCATGGCCGTGGCCACTGCCCTGGTGGTACGGCGACGAATCGCGCGCCGCCTCTTCTGCGCCTGTCGAAGCCGCGGTGTTGCGTCCGAGCAGCGCAGCGTACAGTCCGTTGGGAACAATCACCTTGTCCTCATCCTTTTTCCGGCCAGAAGCCTTCTCCACACCTAGCTGCGTGATCGTGTCGCGGCGCTGCTGAACCGCCTGCTCGAGCTCGAGCGGCACTTCGACCTCCTCGCGCTCCGAGTCGCTCGACCACATGTCGGCGTCTTCCCACTCCTTGGGCCATCCCGATGGTCGAAGTCGCGTGCGCGCCTTGACGTTCCGGCCTCGACCCCTGCCGGCGCGACCGGGTGCAACTGTACCGCCACGACCGGCGACGACCGCACGAAAGACCGCCTTGCGTCGCCACATGTCCACGCCGGGCCAGGTCGTCGCAGCGCGGTACCACGCGCGCATCAGCAGCGTCGAGAGCGCCTCGTGGTCAAAGCGCGACAAACACCGGAGCGTCAGCATCCCCCCTTCGCTTGCAGCGGCCCCGCTAGCTGCCACAGTCGAGGTGAAGCACAGTGTGAGACTGGTAGGCGGTATGGTGTCGAGTGCAGGCAACGCTGCGTTCGGCGGAATGCGTGTGTCGCTTTCCAGAACCCACTCGACCGAACGCAACGGCCAAGCCTGATCCGCTACGGGAAGCATCGCTTCGCCCGCACGAGGCTTTTTCCGGTACAGATCCAGCCGCCAGCCCTTGATGGTGAGCCAGTGCAGCTTCCACTTGCCCACCTTGGCGCGTGCTTTCTCCTTGCCCGCCACTCCGCCGCCCTTGAGCACATACACCCACCCCTCGAAGTAGGGATCCAAACACGCCGCGCCGACGTCCGGGCCGGCATCGGTGGCGGTCCGCCAGGGTTTGTGCGGCTCCTTGCCCGTGCTGCGTGGGGGGCGGACGAGATCGTGCGGATGCAGAGGCGGGATGTAGACACGCTCGGTCGGGATGGCCCACTGCATCTCGAGCAGCTCGTATGGACGGATAGCGTACGATTGGACCGTCTTCCACTCTTCCATCTCGCATCCGTTTGCACACGAGAGAAGCGTGAGCTTGTGCGATAGCGGATGGGAGACTTCCTTGCCGGGGCGCGAGATCTCGTCCCACCTCAGTCCGGCTACGAAGCGGCCCTCGCCGCTGGCCGACGGCGTGGGCGAGGCCCATGTGGCGCTGTCGCCCGCCATGGACGCAGAACCACTGCTCGAGGTGCGTCGAACCGGGCGCTTGTCTGTGGTTGCGGTGCGGCGCGGCTGCGGTTCGTCGTCAGCTGAGCCTTTGAGAAGTTCGAGCAGGTCCGTGTGCACGGCGCGTCTCTGGCTCGACTCGGCCACCATGCGGCGCGGCAGCGTCTTGGGCAGCGACGAGTTGCGCGTGGGCGAAGAGACGCTTTCGGGCATCGGCGGTGGCGTTTCGCCCGAGGCGCGCGAACGCAGCACGTCGGCAGCTGTCACTGTGCGACTGCGTGGCCGCGTGGGCGACTGCTCGCTCAAACTCGGCTGCGGACCACGCGGACTCGATAGCGGCGATGCCTCGGCCTGCGTGCCCCACTGCATCAGCGACGCCTCATCGTCCGCGGTCGTCACCAGCTCCGTCTCCTCGTCCGACCCGACCGAAGCGAGCGAGTCGAACGAATCGGTCGCCCCCGCCTGCGTGTACAGTCCCGCCGCGCGACTGCTCCCCTGCGACTCGTCCGTGCACTGGCTTCCTAGCCAAGGTGAACTGCCTGGGTCTGTACCAAACTGACTGCTGGATGCGATGGTGGGGGTACTGTTGAGGCTGTCCATGGCGGATCGCTCGCGCGTGGCGCTCCACTGGGCCAGACGCAGACTGGCGAGCTGTTCCTCGAGCTTGGCATCTCGATCGCCCGTCATGAGCGATGGGTCGAGACGGATCGCCCATTCCTCCTCGCTCGTCTGCGAATGCGATGTTTCCGACGCCCCCGCGCGGCCACCTCCGAGCTCGGACGTCGATGGCGAAGTGGCTATTGTCGAGTCGTCTCCACGTCTGGACTGAACTGGTGGAAGAGGTGCCCTTCTTGTCCTTGCACCCTTGGCAAGTGCAGCCACGACACCCGCCTTGGGATCGCCCAGCTCTGGTGGAGGAGCAACAAAGGTGCGGGGCAGGGCGTATGTGCGGTGCTTGACTACGCGATCGTGGCTGGCGACGGGCGCCAGCTTGGCTTGCGAGGCCGCGTTGAGGGCATCCTGGTAGAAGCGGTACGAGAGCGAAGGATCGACTTCGGGCGCATTCACCTTGCGCAGCGCGGCATCCTTGATCCAACCTACCGTCTGGCTCGGACTGACGTGCATCCGAAGCCAGATGTCCTTGGGCACGATGCGCACATAGATCGGAATGCGCCGCTCCTTCTTTGCTGGCATCGCAGCATTGTATGACGAAGACGAGTTGGACGACCGCGTTGTCGCCAGCGATAACTTGTGCTGCAAC